GCATTAATAGTAATAGATTTACATGGTTACATTACAATAAATCAAAGTAATACAAGTAAATATAATAAGTACAGCAAGGTACTAAGCCATCTTCATCAACAGCTCCGGGGGTGTACCTGTCTAATTGCTGACCTGAGAATACAAGTTATTTGAAAAGCGAGTATCAGCATTTTTACAAATGCTGGTGAGTTCATAAGTATTTAGTGTCATTTAGTCAAATAACGTTATGAAGTAATAGTTTAAGTGTTTACTATGCATTAGAGTTCTTTCCAGAAAATCCTATATTTTCTTTAAATAAAGAACCCTTCTACCAAGACTGGTCAGTGTTATGTGGTAAAAAGAAGTTTTCCCTAAATTGCTATCATTATCAAAATACTGAGTTTGATTATTAAGGAATGCAAACGACATCAGGGAATAACATATGCCTCAGCAGTGAGGACTACTGACAAAGGCGAGGATTCATAGACTCCAGAAAAGTATCGAACAAACGACACGCCTGGTTCAGTCTAAAAAATGAAGGCACAGACCCCAGAAGGTACCAAATGAAAGGTACAACTAGTAAAGTCTCAAACAGTGAATACAGACCCCAGACAGTAGCAAATGAAAGATACATCTTGTAAGGTCTAAACAGTGAATACAGTGAAAACAATGGATACAGTGAATACAGACCCAGACAACATCAAATGAATGTTGCGTCTAGTAAGGTCTAAAACAGAGAAAACAGACCCCATACAGTATCAAATGAAAGATACGTCTTGTAAGGTCAAAACAGTGTGACTCTTAAAATGAATTACCAGCATACAGTGTAAATTGCCGGTGAAATACCGTTACCTTAAGGCCAAAGAATTATAAGGTAACCCGGGATACTCGTAACCATACTGACTAGAGTACCAGACGCCCTACAAGCGTCTAAAATATGACATTTGTCACCCGTTGGCTTGGTAGGTCGGGACTGTAGCTAGCAGTCTGGGTGCGGGGTTGTCAATCACGTATAGATCTATACACACAATGTCCGCCCTCCTTACAGTAGATTCTGGTTACCAACTAGATGACGGAGAAGGCCGTGTCCTGAAGATGCATCCCAAATAGTGGGTAGAGACTTCCAAATAGTGGGTAGTGTGTAAGTGCTGAACTAGAGGTAGAGACTTCCAAATAGTGGGTAGTGTGTAAGTGCTGAACTAGAGGTAGAGACTTCCAAATAATGGGTAGTGTGTTTCTAATGTAAGTGTAGACTTGAGGTAGAGACTCTTAACTGAACTGACTAGAGAATTCTTGTATGTCTATACTCATATACATAATATAAAACTAATGAATCAAACGACCTTCGGACGGCCATCCAATCCCACCATACCACATCGAAGAAAAGGAAATAGGGCGGACGAGCCTTCCTAAGTCTTTCAATCATTACTTATATGTACCTATATAAGCACAGACATACATCTAACTACGACTGAGTATGTATCAGGTGGAAGTGATTCTTGTGAAGTAGGAGTGTCAAACAAGTGAAGTAGGAGTGGTCGCAAGTGAAGTAGGAGTGTCAAACAAGTATAAGCGTATCACGAAGTAGAGACGACAATAAGTGAAGTAAGAGCGTCTATCAGGTATAAACGACTACAAGTATAAGTGAAATAGAGACAATAACAGGTATAAGTGATATAGAGACAATAACATGTATAAATGCATCACGAAGTGAAAGCGTTATCGAGTAGGAATTTAAAATACATGAAAGCGAAGCAGTGGTATCTAACAAGTAAAAGTATACGTCGTGAAAGGGAACTTTGATGAAAAACCTTTATTCTCGGGAAAATCATAATTTGTGTTCTTTTGTAAAATATGTTTGAAAATCTTTGGAAATCTTTCATAAACCAGTTTAGAATGAAATTTGATAAAACAGTATAAGTAAGAGTTTTGAAACAATTGAAAACCATTATAGAAAACCGTTATAGCGTCCTACTCGGTAAAATAGGGTACAGTGTGGTAAAATATTGTGCATGCGGGTTATCAATCACATGTGATTGATATGATAACTGGCATGTTTAACTTGTATAGCCCCCTATAATACATGTAAAACATTTAAAAGGTTCATTCAGGGGTATGAACTCACCTGGTGTAAGTAGGTCCCACGAAGGTGCCGTTTGGGCGTTCGGGGTCACGTAAGGACTCGAACACACTCAATGACCTATTTAACATATGATAACATATGTTCATATACAATTAGCATATTTAATACTAATTAAACAAGTATACGCACTCAAAGGAGCGGAAAACACCTTAGATAAGTGTTTGGGTGTCCCGGGTAGCATCTAAAGGTGTTTATGGCCTAGGAATGGAGTTTACACTCCAAGAGTAAACCCTTAACACCATGTTTACGGCCCAGGGACTACTCACCATGAGTTTACGGCCGTAAACTCATGGTGAGGGGATCTAGTGTGTTTTAAGGCTTCTAACTTGTTCATGGAATTATTCTAGGTCCAAAAGTATATAGTATGAGTGGGTTTAAGGTCTTTAAGGGCATCTTAATGGAGTTTACGGCCCAGGGACAGCTCCTAAGGGAGTTTACGGCCGTAAACTCTCATTCCTTGACTTTTGTGAAGTTTCAAGCCCTTATATCACTTCTAGTATTTTATAATAAGGTGTGAGGCCATTTGGGGGATTTAAAACTACCTTTTTGGCATGTTTAGGGGTGTTTACGGCCTTGACACATGTTTGGGCCGTAAACTCCCTTTACCCCTTCATTTTGTTGAGTTTAATTGATCTAAACCCAAAAGGACAAGCCCTAAATTTATGTATTAAGTCTAAGGGTGGTTTGGGAGTGTTTTTAGGGCTTTTTGACATGTTTAAGAGGTGTTTACGGCCTTGGCATATTCCTGGGCCGTAAACTCTCTTTTACCCCTTAAAATCATGTGATTTAATGTTTAAACACTCCTAGGCAAATCCCTTAATTTATTTCCACGCCTTTAGGGACATTTTGGGGTCATTTTGGCCTCATTTTAGGTGTTTACGGCCTAAGGAGGAGCTTAGGCCGTGAACTCCCTTTCAACAGCTTAAATGGTCCAATTCTAAGCTATAAACACGAGTCATAATGTTTAGAATAAGCTAGGGTAAGTGAACTTACGATTTAGAAGCGTTTGGTTGCGGATTCGGGTCGAAAACGAGTCTAGAGAGAGAGTATAGAAAGAGAGTGTCTAGGGAGTGTAAAAAGTCTCCAATAGACTCCACTCACCTTTATATATGGGTGGGGGTTGGAGCTCAGTGGAATTCTACCCAATACTGCCGTTAAACGGGGCTTTTGATCGCACCCGATTTAGTGGCAATAATAATAAAAACTAACTATTTCCAACTAAATGGAAATGTGTGTTATGTGTTTTTATCCTCTTTTACCACAACTTAACGGCATATTAAATGTAAACAAATGGAATGTTTATTTAATTGACAACCTCTAATCAACGAAACTTTTAGAAACTGGAATATTCCTTTAACGGTAACGGGGAAATGTAACGGAACAACTTGGGTTGTCACATAAACACGGGAAGAGAAACAACGGCGATATCAATTAGGCTGATTGGAGTAATGGTCTCTTCATAGGGTTGTAATATGATCGTTTTTTCTATATTTGTTCTGTTTGTTCTTGCTCCTTCTGTGTTTTCTACATTTTATATCTCCTCCTGCCTAGCGTCTCTCTAGGTTTGACTTTTATATAATATTATTTGTTGGTTCAAAAAAACTATCCTAGTTTCGAATGTGATGAGTTTTGAGTTTGATGATCATTTTTGCATTTATTGTCTATGGTTTTATATTAAATGTAGTTAATAAATATGCTAATCTTGGTTAATATCTTCGTATGCTAATAAAATAGTAGTTTTGGTTTGCGATGTGTCATAATCTTAGTGCTCCTAAATAATAATATATCACGTGTCACTCTATTGCTTCTTTATTTCAAAAATTGTCACATGACACTAAACATTTAACATAAATAATAATTAACTATAAATATAAACATGCTAACTTCATGGAGTTTGTTACTTTCTTTGTATTTAAAACATACTAATTAAATAAATACATTAAATTAAAACATTATTTTCATTAAAACATATTATTCTATATTTTAAACATATAAAATTACATACAAGAAAATGTCATATAGCTAATTAAATAACTTTTGAATTTCACATATTTATTTTAATAAACGATTATAATTTACATAACTAAACAAGTATCTCCTATAACATAGGGACGATTTCAGTAATTTACTCTAATAATTATCAATTTTTACTAAGAAAATTTAAATAATTTTTCAACCGTGGTTCTCACGGCTTATAAATTAGTTAGAATAATCAGAGTATAAATTCATCAAGGTGACGTTTAAAGTTGTTCCATTACGACGCACGAGCATATCCTTCATTTCTAAACTACTACATACGTTTCAACTACGCCCATAAAAAAATACATGTATCAGACATTCAAAATTATACTTGATATATGAAAAAGGCAATTATATCCCTTCCCGTCCTATATTTATTGTACACTTTTGATTTTTAAAGTGTTTATTCTTTAATATTAACCATAATATTTTTATTTTTGATATAATCTTTGATGTAAAATAAATGAATGGATTATTGTTTTAAATGTGTTTTCATTATTAAAAGTTCTATAAAGTAATTTATAGGTCAAAATTGAAAATAAAAACTTTAAAAATCAAAAAATAGATAATAAATATGAGACTGAAGCTTAGGGGCTGTTTGGATTAGATTTTTAGCTAATTGTTTATAGTTTATTTGTGGTGGGAATAAGCAATAAGCAATAAGCATCGGGAGGAATGCTTATTAAAATTAGCTTATTTAGCCTAATAAGCTGAATTTTATCCAAACACTTGAATTAGCTTATTGTGGGAATAAGCAATAAGCACCTCTTTTTTTCCTATCCAAATACCCCTAGTTGAATAAAACTTCATACATTGAGCAGTGGTAAATACAATGAGGAGTGGCATTTATATATATACTTCATTCACCAATTATTAGATGCCAAACGTGAGACGATTTGAACATTAAGGTGGCATTTATTAATCCGACACTTTCAGTCATATCTATAGTTGAATCTTTGGGAGATGACATATCAAAATTTTGTAGCAAAGTAGCCAACACAATGTGCAAAATCTGAAGTGAAAAAGCTAACCCGGAACACGACCTTCTTCCAGCACCAAATGGAATTAACTCAAAGTTAGTCCCCCTAACATCTGCATGTGCATGAGTCCCAGAAAGGAACCTCTCAGGCCTAAATTCCGATGGATCTGACCAGATTTCTGGGTCATGTTGGATCTTCCATATGTTGACAATCAACCATGTGCCTTTTGGGACATGATACCCAGCTACATTGGAATCTTCTGAAAATTCTCTTGGAGCTCCAAGTGGTGCTGCTGGGTATAACCTCAGTGACTCCTTTACAATAGCTTGGAGATAGACTAGTTTGCTAATATCTGAATCATTAATTCGTCTACCCTTTCCAACATGCTTGTCTATTTCGTCGATCTTGAACGTTTTGCAGAGCAACGGGATTATTTAATAGCAGTGAAAGTGTCCATGTTAGGGTGGCTGTGATGGTATCAGCACTACTAGCAATGATATCCTACAAAATTTAATGTATATTAGGAACCATACATAGTATTTTCTCTGAATTGTGTTTTTGCTTCCGCAATCATTTCATTTTTCTGTTCTAATAAAAGAGTAAAATTCATTTGTATTCAAGGTGCATCCTACTCAAACTCCCTTTCCATGCTAAAAGCATTTTCCTTGTAAGAAAAAGGCTATTATTCAAAATTTTAACGTCTGTTAATTAATAATAGCAAATCAAGGGATATTCATAAGATCATAAGTAATGATAACTGCATCATAAGTGATTTTAGTTTGAAAAGTTTTTGTCTTCAACAAACCATGTAAAAAGTAGATAAATACAATACCTTTGAAGCAATCAAAGCACTTAATTAAAGGTTTTGATGTAATGTTTATCGAAGCTAGGATTCTTTTTAACTACACTGATGCATAACAAGATAAATAAACTAATTCTATATATTTATGTAATTAGCATGTATATGTATCAGATCATACCAAGCATGTAGACTTAATAACAGCGTCAGCATCATAATCTGTCAAGCCTCCGGTTTCTACAGCAGAGATCATCACATCCATGTAATCCTTATCCTCAACAACCTCCGCAGAACCCCTCTTCCTCCTTTGCTCGTCAAACCACTTCCCAGTTATGAAATCAATTTCTTTTGCAACTCTTTTCATAGCTTTTACATGACCACCTAAATCCAACAACCCAAGGAAAGGAAGTGCATCTCCCACCACAAAAAGCCCCAAGAAATGAAAAAATTCCCTAAACACTTCACCATACTTGTTCATGTCATTTTCCTCTTCAACGTTTTTAGCCTCCGTACACCGTTTACCAACTACCATTCTAAGCATCACATTCATATCAAATTCCCCAAACCATTTCTTCATATCAACCAACACTTTCCCGTTCGCATCTCTCTTCTCCTTCCATAGCTCATGCAAGTTTCTGATAGAGTTCTCCAGTTCAGACACATGAACATCCTTTAGTTGCTCAAGGCGACGGCTTGATAGTAGTTGTAGGGAAGCAATCTTACGCATTTCTCTCCAGTATGGACCATAAGGAGTGACTCCAAACATGGCGTAGTTATATCCCAAAATCTTAGCAGCTGTAAACTTGGGGCGAGAGGAGATAGTTACATCACGGGTAGTGAAAAGCTCTTTAGCAATCTCCCAAGTATTCACTACCAATACTTTATGGATTCCTAGACGAACTGTAAAGATTGGTCCATGTTTTAAAGCCATGGATTCCATTCCCAATGCTATGTGGGTAGGACCCGATGAACCTCCGAAGAGATTCAAATGACCTACTATTGGCCATGCACCATTTGCTTTAGGTGCAGCGTTCTTTTTACCAGTTTTACGGAAGAACAATAAGAAATGAAGGACCACAACTACAGCTCCCAATCCAAGTAAGAAAGTACAATTATGTTGCAAGGAGTGGAGATCCATGAGAAGATTGATGGTGTCAAGCCTGAATGCCTGATGGAACTATTTTTGTCAGTCAGCGAAAAATATGAAGTGTATTTAAAGAAGTACATTAGAAGATTTTCACGTTTTGTCCCATTGGAGTTTGCGTGGGTTTATCTTGTTCACAAATACGATGTGTGGCTGAGATTATTTGGAAAGCAGAGCCGAATTACAGTCGATAATTATTGTAAAAACTAAAGATAACAATCAAGTTCCGAAAATGTCATGATCTCTTGAATGGCCTAAAAATTATTAATAAGTGATAACATAATTACCGGTGGATATTTTTTTGGGATAATCACTTGAAAGGGTAACAAACTTTCGATTTGTATCACATTCAGTTATTAAATTTTTTTTCGTTATTTATTTGTTATTGAACTATTGAAACTGTTCACATTTTACCCTTATGACCGGCTGTTGCCGGTCATAAGGGTAAAATGTGAACAGTTTTAATAGTTCAATGGCAAACAGATAACGAAAAAAAGTTTAGTGACTAAATATGAACAAAATCGAAAGTTCGTTTCCCTTTAAAAAGTTCAATGACTAAATGTGAACAAACTTCCTCTTGTATTATGTTTTAGCAAATTATTTATTTTTGTTAAATTGTAGCAACATTTGTTGATGAAGAAATCTATGAAATAAAAAAAAAACAAAACAAAAAACAAAAAAAAAAAACAAAACAAAACAAAACCCTGAAAATATATTTTAAAAAAAAACAAAAAAACAAAACTGAAATAAAAAACCAATGGTTTGACATTTTCCAAAATAAAAAATCAAAATTTCCTATCTGATTTTGGTTTTACAAAAAAATGAACCATTCTCACTAATGTGAATTATGACCATTGGTTTGGCATACGAAATTTGTGACATCCCATGAATATGTAGTTACAACATCGTCTGAAATCATAATTCATAGTAAGGGGTTAGAGTATCATCACATGAATACGTAGTTACAACATCGTCTGAACTCGTAATTCATCACCTATAGGTTATGGGTCTGCTGGTGTTTCCACTGGATTTTCTAAAATAGTCCGTGGTTGCCATCTATAATCTGGTAGATGACTACATCGCCACATTGCTGGTAAAGGTTATGGTATCTCCTTTCATCCTACATCACATATTCATCATCATCTATTTACCTAATTATCACCACCTTTCTATCATCACCTATCTCTCATCATTTATATTTCATCACACACCAACTATTTCATCTACCTATGTTTCATCCGCAACATATTTGTAGATATAAAATAAATATACCGTTCAAATCTTTTAAAACATGTATAAAATCGTTTATCCAGCATAGACATCAAGTATTCAAATAATATGCACACATAGCACGTAATTTATATAAAATACTTCATATCTATGTGTAAGATGAAAGTAACTATATATACCATAAATGCTTCCTAACTTTGAACCCCAAGGTTTACTCTACTAAAGCTTCATATTTTTGGCTCTGTGAACCTAGAAGGGTCCAGATCTATCACACCAAATAGCTCAAGATAGCTCTTCCTCTCACTCTACACACTCAAGCTCGCTAGGGTTCTAACTTACGGGAAAGGTAGTCGCAATTAAAGGCCATAAGTGCCTTTAAATATGGCTCGAGCCCAAAGATTTAGGGTTTCTGCCAATAGCACGGACTCGTCGAGTCGCCTCACCGACTCGTCGAGTCCATTCATTAATCAGAGTCATCAATCGCGACCTTACTCGACGAGTTGAGGCGTCAACTCGTCGACTCTCTCTTCTTAACTCAAAAGAAAAATACTTATATGATAATACCTGGAAATCCGAATGTTACATTTTGTTTTTTTATTTCATAGATTTCTTCATCAACAAATGTTGCTACAATTAAACAAAAATAAATAATTTTGCTAAAACATACTACAATAGGAAGTTTGTTCATATTTAGTCATTGAACTTTTTAGAGGGAAATGAACTTTCAATTTTGTTCACATATAGTCATTAAACTTTTTTCATTATCTATTTGCCACTAAACTATTGAAATTGTTCACATTTTACCCTTATGACCGGTAACAGCCGGTCATAAGGGTAAAATGTGAACAGTTTCAATAGTTCAATGGCAAATAGATAACGAAAAAAAGTTTAGTGACTAAATGTGACAAAAGTCGAAAGTTCGTTACCCTTTCAAGTCATTATCCCTATTTTTTTTAACACAACATCTATTTTCATTTCACACACCAATCATCCTTGTTAATAAATACTTTTTTTTGTATTGTTTTTTTTTTTCTTTGACTTGAACACACAGTACTTTTCTAAAATTTCTTAATTTTTTATTTTTTACTTGTTATTTTATTGTATTTTTCGTTTTATTAAATTAAAATTTCATATCCATCATTTGGATACATGATATTTTCTATAATTTTTGAATTTTCTATTTTTCACTTGTTATTTTATTATATTTTTCATTTTATTAAATTAAAATTTCATATTTAATATGTATGGTAATATATAGTCAATACATTAAAACCTTATTAATTTTAATAATTCAAACTTTTTTTTTATAAATTTAAACTTTTCAAATTGTTAAAATTTTGAATTTATTTTTTTCTAAATAAACTAATGCAATATGTAAGTCTCAAACCTAATTACATATTACATCCTCTTAAAAGGAAAAATGCACATGTATACATCGCGGAATATGTTTTTTACTATAACACATATTACCTTTAATTAAAAGAAAAAATCACATATCGTAAAAAAAAAAAAAAAAAAAAAAAAAAAAAAAAAAAAAAAAGTAAGCACGAGACTTTTTGTTTTTTGGTTGCTAACAAATGTTTGTTGTGCTCTATTCTTTTAATTAGGAGGGTAATAATGTTTTCAATTTGTCCTTATTAGATTTCTAAGATATTTTTTATACGTATCACACCAAAAAAGTTGTTATAACCATTTAAAAATAGTTAATTTTACCGATGTCTTCCTGTTTAACTTAGTTGACATCTTACATTTCTGGTGACATGTCTCTTACCGCCAGCAACATAAGGTCCCATTTTTCTTGTGCCCTAAATTGAAGAGTAGAAGAAGAAGAGAAAAAGATGCCGCAAGCCTTCATTGCCTCCACCTCAAACAACCTAATCATGCGCTACTGTGGGCTCCCAGCTCGGATTCGAGTCTGCACGACACCACAAAATCCGGGGAAAAGGTTCAGAACATGCCCTAATTCGTTGGTAATGGCTAGGGCTGGCAAAATTGTACCATGGAAAACCAACCAACATGTTACCAACCGAACCAAGAAACTTGGTAGCCAATATATTTGGTAGTCAACAAGTTTGGTTGGTAGTACCGTACCAATTGATCATTGTTGGTACGGTAATGATACAAAAATTGAAATACCATGGTAGACCGTACCAACCAATTCATTTGATATATGTATATGTATATGTATATGTGTATATATATATATATAGGGAAAAGTGAATATACCCTTAAGGGTATATCAACTTAGGTACCCAAATACACTATAATATGTCGTTTAGTTTCATATATTCATTAGAATGTTCTTAAATTTCAACCCTTAACTTGATTTACTTTCAACTTTTTCGAAATTTCACTATTATCTTTCTCTTATATCACATATTTTTTTCCGAACACCCACTAGGCTATATATATTGTAGTTAAAAATGAAAACTATATAAAACGATGATAATTGTGTAATTATAAAAATAATGGAAATAAATCAAGTTAGAACTTAACTTATAAAAACATTGGACAACTAAAATCTATTATATGATACAAAACGACATAGTATGATGAGTTTCGGTACCTAAGCTTATATACCCTTAAGGGTATATTCACTTTTCCCATATATATATATATATATATATATATATATATATATATATATATATATATATATATATATATATATATATATATATATATATATATATATATATATATATATATATATATATATATATATATTCAATTGTTAATTGTATTTAGTGTTTACAGTTTTAATAACATTATATTATTCATTTGGTCGTATTAATCAATAGTCATTACCATGTAAAAGTACAATATTAAAACGTTACTTTAGCGTTACTTTAGTAGAATTCTTTTGTAAACTAAAAGAACTACATAACTAATTTCTATACTACACATCAAAATCCCGATGTCGTTGCTTGTTTTTAAATCTTACAATACAAAATTAAAAGAAGTTGGTATATACCATTACCAATTTGTACCAACCAAACTTGTTGGAAGCCAAATAAATTGGTACCAAGTATACTTGGTACGGTATCGGTAGCAATTCTTTTATACCAATTATAGTTTGTACCGTATATGGTTTAGAGAAAAATGAATTGGTACCGTACCAATTCCACCCCTAGTAATGGCCAATTTTGAAGATCGAAGCTTTTCTCTTTAGGGCATGTGTTAGACATCCATTTTTATGATTTTTTTAATGTAAATTAAGTATAAGTAATATCTTGTACAAAATAGGATAATATATCGAAATTTATTGTATTTATATGAATTGTATTGTTTGTATTTAAGTTAATTTTATAAAATAAATTGAGTAAATGCAAAGTATAATTGTATAACCGACAATGTGTATTATAATATTTATTAGTTAATATGAATTTTCTTATAATGTATTGACGTTTTTTCTGCATTTTATGTAGAAAAAATTTGGATTTTTTTTTTACTAATTTAATGATAGATTACTAACAGAAATATCGACAACTTATAGTGTCATCGGAAATGTGTAGTTAAATTGGTCAAACAAGGTCAAACCAGCTTAATCAATATTTCATAACTATTCCATAGGTGATTATATGTCTTTGTTATTCTTAACGACGGAATTGGTCGTCGGTAGTTTGTCGGTAATCCGTCAGAAAAATTACCCACATTCGAATATGCTACGGATTGAATTCTGTCGGTAAAGGCCATTGCCTACGGAATATCGTATTTTGACAGATTCATCCTCAACTAAATCACGATGTTCTAGTTGTGAAAATATATATATATATATATATATATATATATATATATATATATATATATATATATATATATATATATATACACCTTAATAAGCATTTACCATGTTTTGCCGAATTTTAAGAGGTATAACCTTTAATGCAATATTTATAATTAGTTAATGCATTAAAAATATATCTGGTAAACAAATTATTCAATAACTCAGGTTTTGAATTGATCTCTGCGCTTGATCTTCAAATTGAATTGGTCAAAATTAACCGATATTCCTTAA